TCTGGAGATCTAGGCATCTAGGGATAAGGAGATCTTGGGATCTAGGGACTTGGGAATCTGGGGACCTGGAGATCTGGGATCTGGGATTTGACATCTGGGGATCTAGGGATCTGAGGATCAGGGGATCAGAGGATCGGGGGATTTAGGGATCCAGGGATCTCGGGATTCGGGGATCTGGAGATCAAGGGATCAGGAAATCAAGGGATCCAGGGATCTGTAGAACTAGGGATCCAGGGATCTATGGATCCAGGGATCTGGAGATTCAGTGATCTGGGGATCTAAGGATCTGCAGATCTAGGAATTTAGGGGAATCCAGGGATCTAGAGATCTGGGATCTGGGGACCTAGGGATCAGAGGATCTAGGAATCTGGGGATCTAGGGACCCAGGGATCTGGGGTCTGAGGTCCACTGCTCTAGGGATCTGGGAATCTAGGGATCCATTGATCCAGGGATCCAGGGATCTGGAGACCTAGGGATCCAGGCATCTATGGATCTGGAGAATCCAGGGATCTAGATATCTGGGGATCTAGGCATCTGGGGATCCAGGGATCCAGGGACCTGGAGATCTAGTGATCCATGAATCTAGAACTCTGGGGATCTAACAGTTGAGGGATCTACTGATCTGGGGATCTAGGGATCTGCAGATATAGGAATCTGGGGATCTGTAGATCTGGGGATCTAGGGATCAAGGGACCTGCAGATGTGGAAAATTGAGGAATAGTCCAATAAAATTTGTGAGCAAGACCCACTGGTGTTTTTTCCTCCAGTGTTTTCTTTCTCATCTCTGTCCTTTCTCATATAATTCCTGATTTGACCTATGTTGGAAGAAGTCAATCAACACTGGTTTTTCTTTATACAAATAGTGTGTTGATTTTTTGACATTCCACATCTCTTTTTTAGTTTTATCACCCATTTTTCCTCCTTAAGAGATATACTGTACTCCATGCATTTGCATCCATAGAAACCATTATTGTATATACAGATGTTCCCCAAAGTCTCCTTTGTTCAAAGGTAGGCCGTTGGGGATGCAGTTGGATCGTGAGGTGAAATACTAATCAGTGGACTAGTTCACTAATGAGTTTATACCTAAATGTGATGCTTGCGAAGTGAGGCCTGGTGTGAAGTGGATCACTGCACTTAGGTAGTTAGAAAGTATAATTCTATGAAGGAGCAAAACTAAAAATACAGTAGGAGAAGTAGGAAGGGAGCAGAAGAGTGGTTTCATAGAAGGTAAGTCAACAGGGCATGTGTGAAAAAGAATTCAAGGAAGGGACTGTGTTGAAAACACAACAATTACAATAAAAATCTTGTTCTTCAGTTTTTAACATTAATACTATATTAATTGTTGAGAGGGATCCCAAAAAAATTTATGGTATGGTCTCTGCCATTTGTGGCAGAGGTGTAATCTGGAAGGGCCTAGGCCCTCCTTCTCCCTTGATCTGTCTCTGATTCACCACCATGCCATAAGTAACTGTCCTCTGCCACGCCCCTCTGCAATGCTGCCTTGCCTTGGGGCCAGATGACTACGGATCAAAAACTCTAAAAACTGTGAGCCAAAATAAATAAATCTCTTCTTCTTTTAAGTTTAAGATGTTGGGTATTGTGTCCCAGTGATGCAAAAGTAACTATGACAGCAACCATCTCCTTTCTCTGCATTTCTTTTCTCAATCTCTAGATTATCTCTATCACTTATTTTGGTGACTTACCAAACATACATTCCCAAATGACAATTTAGTGATTTCACATGTACAGTCAAGTCCCTGGCTAAATTACAAATGGCAGAGAGCATACCATAAATTTTTTTGGTATCCCTCCTAACCCCATCACAGTAACTTCAACCTCATAGGGTAAGTAGTAATTTCCAACTATTGTTGTGTGGCTCTGTTTCTCGTGTGCATCTATAATTCTGCACTGTCAAAATAGACCTCATCATCTTCATCCCAATCATCTCTTCTCTTTGAGTAAGTTAAGTTGCTTAGACCAGTTATTTCAACCGAATCTTTGACTACAGTTCATACTCTGCATCCAGTAAATGGCAAAGACCTACAGACCTGGCCTTACAATTTCGTCTACATTGGTTTTCTTTTTTTCCTCTATGACTAGAACCTACATGAGCCCACATTAATACTGTATATACTCATGTGTTCAACTGTTGCTTCACTTGTTGCCATAAACCTCTTTCAATTTTTTCTTAGTGGGGCTAGAATTGTTCCTCTATGAATCTAACTCTTTGCTTTCCTAGTGAATTAGGTAGAAATTATTCTATAATCTCCATCATGTAGCATGAACAACCTTTCAAAGTCTCATATACTTTCCAGATTTGTGAATTAACATAACAAATTTGTATACTGGGCTGCCACTTGAACAGGACCCAAGCATACTCATCTCTAACTCTATATTGATTTTTGTACCTCAAATGAATCTCACTAACCTCATCTATATCCACTTCAACAAAGCTCTTTTTTAACCCTACTGTCTTTTTTTTTCACTCTTAAAACAATCTGTTTACTTTTGTACCGTGTATTTTCTGGGGAAATGTTTCATGTAGTTTATATTTTTTTCTCAGTTAGGACACGGAATAGAAATGAACTGAGTCATTTTTCTACACTCTTGGGGGCTTATATAGTTTCTAAAATATAGGAGGTTTGATATGTTGAATTGGAAAATGGTAACATGTGTTAGGAAAATGAAGAAAAATAACTTGCCCTTCAGAAGGAGCTTCTCCTCACAGACCTCCTCGTTTACTAAACAAGCAAACCTGTACTCAGATCTGAGTGGAAGTACCTCTTCTTTTTACCTCACCTGTGCAACCTTACTTCCACATCTGCACCAGAAATTATAACCTAGCAAGATAATACATATTCAGCCACATAACATTAAAATGTATAAAATCAACATGTATCTTATTATTTATTTATTTATTCATTTAACAAATATTTACTTAATCTCAGCTATTCTGTTATAGAAGTATAAACCTAACACAGTGGGTGTCTATTATTTTGTAGCCAGGATTCAAGGTACTGGGAATATAACAATGAACAAAATAAGTAAGTATGTACCTACAAAGCCACCCAAATTGTAATGGAAGAGAGAGGATACACAAAACACATATGTTAGGCTGGGAAAGTGCTATTGAAAAAGTCAGAATGCAAAAGAGAAAGATTGAATTATATGCTGCTTTAGAGAAGATACTGAAAAAGCATCTTAGATGAGATGGTATTTGAGTAGGAATTCGAATGGAATTAGTAAAGGAACCATGAAAACACATAGGAAAATAACGTTTGCGGTAAGGTGATAGGGCTGGGGATATAGCTCAGTGGCACAAGCACCTGCCTGACAAGCGCAAGGTCCTGAGTTCAATTCCCGGTACCAAAAAAAAAAGAAAGAAAGAAATGAAAAAAGAGGTAAGATGAATAGGAAGTTCAAAAGTTTTGTAAAGGCCTAAGACCCGGTGCGACAAACATATATGAAAGTGATCAACATATATGAAAGTGATCTGGGTCACCACCTTAATCCCAGTATTCTGGGAGGTCACAGATGAGGAACACAAGTTCAAGTCCATACTGAACAACTTAGTAAGATACTGTCTCAAAAATTAAAAAAAAGAACTGGGGATATAGCTCAATGGGAAGGCCTTGAGCTCAAACCCCAGGAACAGAAATGAAAACAGGGAAACGGAAAATGCATATACTGCTTTGTTCCTAAGTGAAGCAAGCTCTTTGAAATTAAATTGCATGGAATATTCTCTCGGTAAAAATGAAAGCATAACAATTTTATGACTAACTTATAACAAATGCACATCTTTTATTACACTATGGTGAAAATGATATTCCACAATAATAATATAAATAATTTTATTTTGATAGGTGTAGACAAACAGTACTATTTGTTTGCCCTTCTTCCTCGTCCTCCTTCTCTTTCTTTTTGGAATCAAACCCAAGCCCTGTTTACACAGACGAGTGCTGCACTCCTGAACTGCATACCTAGACCCTGTACTTTATTCCTTATATTTTTAAATGAAAGAAACCCTTTATAAGACATGGGTCTTAATAGTTTCTTCATATCTACTAGAAAGAAAAAACTTACTGTTCTTAAATACCAATATATTATATTCCTATCTACATATATATATATATATATGTATCTTTCAATTTTGATGTCACTAGGTATTCTAAAATAATAACTTTAAGTGAAAAACAATTAAAATTCAGTCTCCGAGTAAATCAAACTCAATGTTTCTCTGAGTTCTAAAGTTTAGATTAAACTCTGAGGGCTGACTCTCAAAACTAAGTTATTATATGTTAAAATAAAACATACTCTAAAACTAAAATGCTTGCATGTACTCAGAAGCAGAGAGCTTAACAGAAGCAACAATGATGATGTATGCCACTGTCCCTACAATCAGTGTTTATGACTAAGAAAAAATACAACTACATTAGCATCCAGAACTTTTCAAAGTGAGATGAAGACTCTTGGATTAGAAATTGATAGAGCATCATCCTGCAAGGACAAAAGTAGAGAACGCCCATCTGAGCATTTGCACATGCACATCTCAGGGTACGGACCTAACATGACACATCCAGCCAGGGAACTCACAAAGCACTGCTGTACTTACTGATATCAAACATGACCCTGACATGATATGTAAGTTGACTCTTCAGGAAATTTCACTTAGGTGCAGCTAATTACATACAAGAGTCAATCAATATCAAATAAATCTAAGACTTTACGAAGTTTAAAATCCTAGCACCAACACTAGGGCCAACTTGCATTTCTAGAGCATCTGTCTATGTGTTTCATCATTTTTTTCTTAAAAATTAATGAATAATCTATTAATATTTCATCTTGCAGATGTTGAGACATATCTCTTTTGCAGAAGAGACAATAAATTATGGGGTTAGGTCTATAATCCATGGGTTCTAAGTATGGCTTCATGGTCTCTTTTACATTGTCATACTACAATTTGCAGTCATTTCTTTAAAGAAAAAGTAATTTCTCACCTTTCTGACAATTTCCCCATATAGTTTGTCGAGTATTCTCATAATTTGTATTCAACCAGCTAAGAACAATCCTTTCTGATTCTGAATATATGTTGCTGGATGCAAAGCAAGGGCTGATTTTCTCTGTATTTTGCACATTTATTGGAGGAGCAGCATTGGAGAACTGTGGTGCAACCCGGGATAAAACCAGAACCTGAAATTGGGAAAGAGTCAACTTTTACTAGATTCAAGTGCAGAAATAACACATTAATATTTCGAGAGTATATAAGTATATGATAGAAAGGCAAAGAAAAGTAGTGGTATTTTCTGGTTATTCACTCAGAAGTCAAAGAACAGATCAGATTTGTCCCACTAATATTCATTTTGAATTCACAAAATTTTGCTTCTACAGCATTTAGTCCATACAGCACCACACCATGCGATTGCACTAAAATGCTAATTCATTTAAAACAAATGCATTTGAATGCTTTCCTCACTTCTTGACCAGCTCATGCGACTCAAAAAAATTAAAGCTTTGAAAATCAAAGTAATATTACCTCGTCAAAACTGATTTTGATATTGATACTCACTCAGGAGGTGTACTGTTAAGATGGCAAAAGTACACACAGTTTTATAACATGATCTCTTTTCTCCTGTGCTGTATAGTTTAACGTATTAAATTATTAAATTCGTATCGCCGTGTATACTGCATGTATTAATATATGTGTTATCACAAAGCAACATATATGAATTTTAAAGTAAGTAATTTTAAGTAAAGTATTCTATGCATGATCAGTAGAATACTGATCAAAGAGCTACTTAAAACTACACGAGACTAGCCACTTGGCATGGGTTCTAGATGAGATGGACAGCTTGTCCGTACCACTACTTCTCTCTCTCTCTCTCTCTCTCTCTCTCTCTCATCTTATACATATATATATATATTTTTTTCTTTTTCTTCTCAACATTCTAAAAGAAGTAGTCAGGAGTCAGAGGACTGGTTTATATTATAGTACAAAGTACAAGTCATCTCAAACTATTAACGGACAGTATTCCAATGGCATGTGTATGAAGACCACGATTTGACTGATACATACTATAGAAATACTATTGCTATCCTGCTCATATCTACCCAGCATCCACTTTCACATTATGAAGGCTGCTTATTGTGAACGTGTACAAATACCTGCTGGATGGATATTTTTTTGCTGACACATGGGAGTACAGGTAACCCACCAGAATCAGCAACCTTTCGATGATAGTCATGCAATTGGTAGCTAAGTACTACATTCCACATCGTTCAGTTGCCATACACATCAGATATGTTCTACAATGTTACCCATAAAATTGTGGTAGGATTGAGCCTCAGTCGCCCAGCACAAAACCTACTTGAAAACACCTTTGTTATTAGCCTCATTGTACATAGTTTTAATTTCCTACTCTGCTACACTTATTTCTTGGGATTACCAAGAAAGGAACTTCCTGATGCTTGTCTCAGTCTGTTTCTAGAAAGATCCAATCTAACGTAAGTACATTTATAGTCAAGTATGTTTATTGTAACTTTGGAAAAAAATACTTTCTTTATGCAGTAGATGCCTACCCTATATAGTGTCTCAACTACCTACAGTTTATGATACTTAAGAGGATCTCAACACTCTTCTTTTTCCTACTGTGAGAAGAATTTGAATTTTTATTTAAAAATTCTATTACTGGATGTTGAATATTTATTTTGCATATGTCTAGTAAGACGAGCATCTACAAATGTACATTGCATCATTTTGACATTTTGATAAAATTATAATAGCATTGTTTTCTTTTTTTAATTCTGGCAGTTATATAATTTAAAACTCTTAACTTTCAAATATTATATACTATAAAAATATACCTGAAAGCCTTTGAAAAGGACTGTTCTTTTTCAGGGGAATACCAAATGCGAGTTATCTGAATACATATGATGAGATAAATGTTTGGAAGTAACAGTCTGAGTTGGCTCAGGATTTCTCTGTCATCTATCACCTCTGCTCTGTAAATAACATAAGATCTACAAACGAATAAGAATCCAGATTTGATGGCTGACCCCCAAGGAATATGGCTGTAACCTTTAATACAGAAGAGGCACCATCCTGAGTACTTTATTCTACAGAAGTGCTTTTGAAACTATCAGTGGTAAAAAGAATTGTTAGTTTTCATCTTGTCACAAAATGACAGTTTTGTAAAATACTTAAAATTAAACGCTAGAAAAATGAAATTAAGACTAAAAACATATATACAGTACAAGATCCCCTCACCTTCAAATCAAATATAACCTGGGAAAGTGTTTCCCAAACCAAGCATGAACTGGAGAAATGCAATGAGAAGTACAAAGGACAAAAAAACCTTTCTGCTTCTCTCAGCTAATTGACAAAATTTAAGTGAATAAATTTTAGTGATCTATATTATTTTGTTAGAGGTCTGACTCGAGAAATGTGATACTCAAAAGACTGGCCACGTGACAGAACAGACTCGTTGGCAGTATCACAATACGTATATTGATGACTTAAAAGTAACCATGAAAAAAAGTATTAGTAGTATATATACTTACATATATTGATTGCAACCCTAACTCTGTCATTTGGTATCTTAATAACAATTTAGTTATGTGCTGTTTTATTTAACATAGAAAACATGATAATTTTCATTATTAATTGTCCATAAATCTCTAGATTTTCTAGATAATTGAAATACTGGGATTTCTTCTGAAGAATCATGTTAAATAGGCTAGACTAGGTTGACTAGAAAGAAAAAATAGTCATTTTATGATATTTCTTTTAGACTTCAGGATAGCTAATGGGTCAACACTTGTTTGCAGTTCATCAACTCAAGGGATTTACAACAGTAAATTTATAGGAGGTCCAAGTTAACTGTGTACTGGAGCAAGGACTCATCGTCAAGATGTCGTATTGAGTAATGAGTGATAGCTTATTATCCTGAGTGTGTTACATGACTTGAAAACTGGGAAGTCCTCAGACTTCAAGGCATTGAAATTATCCATACTGACTAGAGTTATCCACTGTGACCACTTTTGACTTGAGTTCAAAGTGAGAGGGGTACTGGAAGCTATGCCTTGACTCATAAGACCCCTACTTTGCTCTTGTTTATATATACTGTATTATTGCCTGCCTTGTGTATTAACTTAAGCTAAGTTAACATGGTACAAAATAAAGTCTATCGTATTTCATATTTTTGGTTATCAAACCAAACCCTAGATCATGCAGGTAATATAGCGGAGCAGACCCTATGCAATTGGTAATAGAAAACGCAATATTCCCCGGGTATGTTCGCCTACAGGCAAAGAAACATTAGGAATTAGCAATGGGCTAAATTTTCCCACTGTGTTTGGGACCAATTTTATTGAATAGTTTAAAGGGTGTTGGTACTTTCAAATATGGCTGGGTAAAATAGATTTTAGAATATCACACAAATATAGACAATTATTTTGGTAAAACAGGAAAACTACAGCACTTGCAGAGGCACCTATCCAAATCCCAACTATATGGACCAAACTTCAAGGAGACAAGAGAGGAAATACCTGGTTCAAGACCATAGTCCTAAACCAAAGTCGTTGGTATGTAAATGTCTTACAATTTAAATTTCTTCCTCCTTATTTCTAAAAGTCTGTGCACTCTAAGTCAGAGTTTGCTTGCTTTTATTTTTATAGAATATTATAATTAATATTGAAATCTAGTTTCTTAGACCACAACAACTATAATAGGAAAATTAACTGCTATAGGCAGACTCCTTGCTAACAGCAATGAAAGGCAAGAGAGGTAATAGCCAACAATAACAAGAGAATGAGGAACTACAAAAGCTAAAAAGTAATGCAGAAGTCTGAGCGTCAGCTGGAGGGGAGACAGGTCTGTATAAATTAGTATGTCCTGTTACTGGATACCTAGGTACAGCGTATTCAACTCTGCATAACGACAATAGATTTAGTGTCCTGACCAGATAGCAACAAAAGTTCAAACTTTATTATATTAGAGAGACTCTGAACTGGTTTGAGAAAAAAAAATATTTAATCAGAAAGACTATTGGTCTTTGTTGAAAATATCATAGTATTTGATAGCATCATAGCAATATTAAAAATAATTAAAAATATACTTTATAGCATGCTAGGATGCTGAGGCAGGAAGACTGAAAGTTCAAGCCAAGCAGGGCCAACTTCACAGTTTGCTGAGACTCTGTCTCAAAATAAAAATAAAAAAGGCTGGGAGGAGATGTGGCTCAGTGGAAACACCCTGTATGAAATTCCCAGTAACCCAACACCCACACGTACAAAATGACTTCTGTAACTGACAATACAAAAGGAACAAATTTATAAATAGATTGATAAAATATATTCAGATATTTACCCACATCACATTCATTTACCTCAATTAATACAGTCACTCCTACTATTCACAGTAGTGTCCTATTTATATTGAAATTTAGAACAGCATTCTGAATTTGACTGTTTCTGTTAGTGAATTTTACATTTCATAGGTTTCAATGATCCATTATTTAGCCTGACTACATTTTTTGTGACTTAGGAATATAATACAAGAATATACGGTAGTTACAATTAGCCATCCAATTTTAACAAGCAGAAGGAACCTAATGACATATAATCAAATTGAGTGAAATGAGATATATCCTGTTACCTAACCATTAGCCAAGAACTAACAGAAGCAGACTTGGAGTGCATGCATGAGTCTTAGAAATATGACAGTCAGAACCTAAATGGATTTACGTAAAACTCAGAACCTTCCAATTCTAATCTGTGAAATGAATTTGAACTTTGTTCTTTTCCATGTAAATCTGCCAATTCATTACTGATTCATTATAGTCCCTGGATTTACCTATGCTTCACACATAAAACACGTGAAGAAATAAAGCTCTGCAGATGATCTTATCCATTCTTATAACTTTACTATAAAATAAGTTTTAAAAATCTCAAATATGTGGTGCCTCTCTCGCCTAACTAATGGATATACTTATCTGGTAATCACACAACTCTTCTTCTATGAAAAAATAAGATGAAATTTCATAACAAAATGATGAGAGAATAACAGTGGTATGCACTGTGTATAATGATCTTAAAAGAATGATCTTAAAAGAATCTCGATCATAGACCAAGAAAACTCTCGCTTACAAAGAAGAAATAAACAAAAAAGGGAAAAATTTGTTTTTAGCGAACAAAAGAAACTAGTAGTATAAATGATACAAATTAGTCTTTATCATGAAATATATTTGAAAGAAGAGAGTAGATAATTTGGAGAATTATTTGAAATATATAGAGAGATCTTTCCATATATATTTTTTCTTGTATAAGAGAAACCATATAATATTTAAACTTGTGTGTCTGACTTATTTCACTTCACACTATGTTGTCAAGTTTCATCCATTTGTGTACAAATAACGCAAGGTTATCACTGCTTATGACAGAGCAGCATGACTTCTGTACCATCAATTCCAAAATTCTAGTCACTCAGCAAACACTATTGAGTTTTACTCCTAATTTTTATGAAAGCTGTCCCTTTTTTATCATCCACAATACTATCAGAATCTCAATGTGAGTCACAGCACCAGACACTTAAATACATCCCACAGTAGTTTCTTTTTCCCACAGTCTACCAAAGTGATGTCCCTAGAATTCAAAGCTTTTCATGTCATCTTTGTGTTTTAAATCTTTCAATAGCTCTGTAACAGTCTCAAGATAAAATCCAGAATGTCCGGATCCCTCGGTTAGTTTAGCACGAAACCCATACTCCCACTCCCTGATCACCTTTGATTACTGACTGAAGTCCTCACCCTTCAACTTTCCGAAACGAGGTTTGATCACTCTAGCCTGTTTTCAGCAAGAATCCTTTAGGCTGGTTTCGCTAGAATGTCCCCTTACTCTGATGATTTCTGTCATTTTCCATTCTTATACCTGCCCCCTCTACTCCCTGGTTTCGTATTTCCCCCCTTCTACTCAGAGTTAAGTTTGTCTTTCTCTACAGCAAAATCCCATTATAGTGGTTGCTCTAGCTATCATCACGGTCCTGAAAATAGTTTTCCTTATCTTGCATTAACAAGTATCATTCAGTAATATTTTTATACATTAAATAGAGTGTAAAAGCATAATTTTGTAATGTTAATATACCGAGAAATGTAATTTGGCTTGAAGTAAATGGGAGAATCTCATCAAAACCTACTCGCGTCTATAATTGTATGAATCTAGTGATTATCACTCCAACATTAAAGGAAGCCTACTGCACATTAGAGGTGGAGAAGATAACTTTCACTGGTACACATTATTTAGTTTGTCCATTTAGCAATAGAATATATTTCTAGCTAGAAAGTATAGTATTTCTCAACGAAATTCTGTCTAGTAGAATATGAAATCAAAATCAGTCATTTTCCAGGTGACATCAGTAAAAGATATCTTCCTTCCCTCTACAGCTCCCTCACCTGCTCTTCATTCTGAGACATTAAACCCATGGAGAAAAGCTTACTACTGAGAATGGAAGGGATATACCCTAGCTCTGAACCATTCATTTTCAATATTTTCACATAGAGAAAGAAATCTATCTTATTCAAGGGATTGTGTCTTAGAATATTTTATAGCAGTACTGGTTATAACTTAAGTAATACACTACACATGTAAATAAACCAAAAAAGTGTAATGAACTAGAGTGGAAGGATTACCTTGTAAATCTGAAGGAATACATCTGTCCATGCCCGTCTACTCCAGCCTTCAAATTTGTTCATATCAATAATAAAAGGACATTTTTTCTTCGGTATATATGAATCCACAGACACAGTCTTACTGGGGGACTTTAAAAAATAAAATGTTACAACATAAAATCAACTTGACGACAAATATAAGTGTACAATTTTAACTATTTAGCACATGCTTTTTTTAACAGAAAATGGGTACGTGCCTTTTTCAGACATTCATTAAAAGCTGAACTTCAAAAAAAGGGCTCCTATCTTAATTGGCACATGTGGGGCAACTTGGTTGCTCTGCATGCAGAATCGACACGAAGAGCTGTAATTCCACATGTGCCAATAGTAGAAATTCTTGTCACAGAAGACTTTCTGGAGCCGACAGTCCATTATTTAGATTATAGATTTATTCACCTAATACATTGATTAGATCACTCTGTAGTAGAAGTGATGGAACAAGATGCAGAGTTCTCCTGAACCCTGAGCCCAGATAGAAACATTCCTTTTGAGTTAGGACACAGGAATTCAACATTTTGCCAAAAACAGACACCTAGCTCTCCCCATGTCAGGTAGTAAGCATAGTGACATTAACACAGCTAAGGAACACTTACCGCACGTCCTTCAAGTTTTTCTAAAAGATTTCCCTTCTGAAAAATGTTTCAAAAAATGAACTGCATACTTTAAGAAACTCACACATTTCTTCCTTAAGTGTTCTCTGAAGAATAGAAAGCGGCAGGTGGTGGAATTACCACCTGTAATTCATTCCTTTTAAGAAATGTACTCCATAATATCATTTTAAGGACAAAATTAACATAAGCCTACATCATTATTCATTTGTAAATGCTCCCTCAGAAGCAAGTCGTACATATTTTAGAAAGTTATGTAATTACCGCTGCCTTGTAGTCTTGTACACACAGAAAGAAAACATAGGCTTTGCAAAACTTAAGCCTTAGTATATTTCACACATAAGATTTCAGGGTTCTAAGATGGAATTTTCTGAGAAAGATCAAATATCATTAAACGGTATAGATTCTTCCTAGAAATTATATTCTCTTACTGAAATTTCAAGCCACTTCTTATAATCACGTGGTTCAAGCAGAAATTCTGGCATTACATGAGAAATGCATCCTCCTTGAGCACTAAAATTAAAAGAGAGAAGCCCAAGTTATAGTAGTATAATACACATCCTCCCTGACATTCAGTGAAGTTATTTAATTTTATTCCTTTTATATTTGTCTTAATTTTCAAGCTTAAAATTTATACCATTAATTTTAAAATCCTTTAATCATGAAATGTGCAGCAAAATATTGCCTTTAGAAAACTGAATAAAGGATATGAAACTTACTAAGTGCCTACAATCATACATTCTATGTAACTGGGACAGAGATATGACTGGGTCCTCAAAGTCAATGCAGTAACCGCTTTTGATGTTACAGCAGTACAAAACTGAGGAAAATCTGAAAAAGTCTGAATACAACAAAGCATCTAACAGCTCTTTAGTCACCTAATATTTACTGAATGCCTATCGCCACACATGCCTAAAAATGAAAAAACTCCAACTATGAAGTAATCCAAAAGAATCTTTTTTTTTTTCCCGAAAGAAATATCCACAAAATTGAAGAGTCTTTTATTTTGTAAACTTGTGGTAGTATACGAAGCACTCTAGATCTATTTATGTTATGCAATACATTTGTAATATATGTTTGTGTATATAATTTCCCACACTTAAGATATATATTATTTCATTATCAAATTTTTTGAATTAATTTTATCCAAAGTCTTGATGTCAGTATTGATCACCACCAAAGGCATTATGCAGAAATCTAGTACTGTTTTGTCCCAAGTGTTTCCTAGTGGAGATATAGATGTGAGATATAACTAATTTAGTGAACACAGAATACCACTCACCAACAGGACATTTAACAGAAAGCAATGCTGTGTGTAGTGCTCAACTCCCTAGGCACTTTCAGCAGTTCACAGTTCTGTGATTACTGAGAAATGAGGGCAAGAAAGAGCAGCAAAGAGGGTAAAGATGATACTGAAAATGGAAACCCTGAAGATATAAGAGACAAACGAGCAGGAAGAATTGAGGAAGGAAACTTGCAGGAGTGGGAGTGGTGAGCACAGTTAGAGCTGTTAAGTTTGACGTGGCCCTGGGACAGTCTAAGCAAACGGAAGAAATCTTGCCTAAATAAAATCCCTTTGGAAATCAAACATCATCTTATCCTCATGAACCATTACTGTATTTGAATTACTGTAGTGCTACATAAAATTTATTTTAACGTCATGCTACTCTTCAGCAGGAATAACCAACCCAAAGCTTATGTAAAAATGCAATAAGATGATGTCTCTATAAAGTTGAAATTCTGTAAAGTGAAACAAAGACAACACAAACATATGAAGAAACTGGAATATATTCTTATAACCAAAGCCAAGACAGGATTTCAGGCACAAGTGATCATTTCTATCAAATGCAAGAGAAAGCTTAACGAAACTATAAAACAACAATTAAAACAAGAGTCTGAAGAAAGGAGAACACATTAGAGTATTCTATAGTGCCCAGAAGAGTAAACGTGGGAAACAACTGAGGATGAAAACATACTTTTGCCTTTTAAATGCTGATGCTGTTATCAATGTATATTTTTCATTCTGAACCTATCTTAAGGTCCAACTTTATCCGTCCATAAAATAGTAGCCACATTTATGTCTTTCAAGTAGATCTTATGCATGGTCAGTACTTTTATAGAGAAATATCTTTAATACATGAATTGATTAAACTGTTTCTTACTTGTCCTACTTGAATATTTATTCAGTTTAGAGTGAACAGTTCAAAATACAATTAGATGTAATGATTTATTAAATTTTAAACAATCTTCAAAAAGATTTTAAATCTTAGTATTTAAAAATGAATTTCTCACTTCTGATATGTTATATATATTTCACTTCTACAACAGCTCTCATTTACTCTGACATCAAATTTAAGAGGGGAAACTGATAACAGTTATGACTATTTTAATATATTTAATATATTTATTTCCATGATGAAACACATGCCCATATCTTGGATTAACAATCCAATTTTATTAGCCACGATGCCACTTTCTAAATGTTAAATAATCTTATCATGGTCAACATACCCTGCTGGGCATGTATTTGCTGATAAAGAGCAAAGAAATCTGAATGGCTTGGCTTTAATGCCAAAATCATTCTTCCGAACATTCATTCTCACGTCATAAAATGTCAAAACAGAAACAACCCATGTTAATGTCAACACTACTGGGAGCTATGTCACCAAGAATACTACAAGCAAAATACAACAGTCAGAAGTACTGTAGATACTCGTATGAAATTTTTACCTCTGCAACATAAAATAAGAATTTATATAAGTATTCAAATATTTTGGGTTCTGGTTAATATTCCACTAGATTTTAAGCATACAAATAACTTTCTTAAATAAACGTATCTGAATTTTCTCCTTACTGAGTTAGTGGGTTTACACTATTAAATCACTCTTTAAAGATCAAAAGTAGGAAGTAGTAACTGAAAAGAAAACTCACATGGTTTCTGTTTTAAACTTATAAAAATTTCAGTAAAATTCTGATTCTATCTAATAAATAAGAAGGCCTAAGTGATACATACTGACTCTTGACTGCTTTTCATTGCTTTTCTGTATTCTTTTTTTTTTTTTTGTTTTTGTTTTTTTTGGTTTTTCTCTGGTACCAGGAACCGAACTCACGACCTTGCGCTTGCCAGGCAGGCGCTTTTGCCGCTGAGCTAAATCCCCAGCCCCTTTTCTGTATTCTTGATCTTTCTGACAGTGTCCTTTCTCTCTGCTTACACCCTATTTGTCATGTGACCATATGTCACTGATGCCGGAAATAGGGATTCTATGTCTTTTAGCCTCACTAAGGATCAGTAGGCCCCCTAACTGATTCAGCCATATCCCATTTTTCAAATATTTGTCATTCATACCGTGGCTTCAGTGCCAACCATCTGCCAGTCTTCTGCCTCTTCAATGGGGCCACGCTAATGTTCCATGGTAGCAATCTCCATGACTACTGGTTGCCTGGGTTTTCAATCAATCTCCTTCAGTGACTTAGAAAATTCTAGCTGCATTCTAAGCCATAAGAAGCTTTAGCCAGTTTTAACTATTACTATAATTGTGAGAGACAAGTAAATGAAAATTTTTTAGAACTATGCCTAACTTTTAATACCTAGTATTTCTAAAGACTCAAAAATCCTGATTTGCAAACAAAGCACTGAACGTCAAATCTTTCATCAGCATTGCTGCTCTAGGAGTCCTCCTCCTCTCCTTCCTCCCCACGCCTGCTAAGGTAAATAAATAAGTACCTCCAGCTAACTACCAGGCAGATTCCATAGACAAGGAAGCAAAAGAAAAAAGCACATTATTGTACTTCAAAACACATTAATCCTATTACATAAATAATTATAAGTAACAAATGCTATGTCAGTGGTTAAAGTACATGAACATAGGGTAAGAGTATTTCTTATGGATATAGGGTATTTCAACGAAAAAAGATCTTATAAATGCAGACCAAGTAAACAATATAAATTCAGCAACACTCTCTTCAGAAGTGTAATGCACACTACTTTTCCAAATGATCATGGAATGCTTATTTCCTATTAGGGAGTATATATTTTACTATGCTGTGTACTACAGTGTGTATAACTATTTAGTAAAACTATAAATGATTTCAAAGATTATCTATCTATCCATCTATCTATCCATTCATCCATCCATCCACACATCCACTTATCTTTCCATTGAAGTTATAATCACAGGCTGAAATTAATATATTCAAGCACTTACTTGAGAAAATCCAGTAGTGAAGAATACTGAAAATGAAGCTGAATCACCCTTTCAGTGTCATCCACAGGTAAAGACTGACTTGAACTAATTCCAGGTGGCAGTGTGCCACTCAAGTGGAGCAGTACATCATAAATGGTCTTATTATATTTGGAAAAATCATTCTGTCTGGAAAATTTCTTGGGTGATGAGACTGAGTAAAACTGTATTTTTTGCACATCCCTACGGGAAAGAGACTAAGTTAAAATCAGTCTTGAAATATTACATTATGAAAAAAGTTCCATGACTATATTCCTATTAAATTCAACTAAAGACTTCCAGAATGCACTTCACTCAGCTGCCATTTGTTATTCAAATTCGATTTTAAAATATTCTCAGATTTCAAGAATCTCATTTAAACATACATCGTTATTTCCTGCTGTAACTGTAAAGCTACAATAATTGCACTGAGAAGAGATTACATTTGAAAAGGAGAACAGAGCTCAGCTCCGGGTCTCATGGCCTACTTGCTGAGTAAATATGGCAAGGTCGTCAAATTCACTGAGTTATACATTTTGTATACTATGAATTGGGAGCTAATGGCTACAGTAGTCTACAAGCTAGATTTCAAACATTCAGCATGTAAGTATGTACAAAAATAAGTTTACACACGTTTTCTTCATATTTGTACTTTAATGCTTTAGAAGAGCTAAACCTATATATAGGTTTAAACAGTAGGGATTCTCATCTGAGTTATAAATTTTACAGATCTACTGTTCCCATGTATCTCTCCATACTTTGAATAAGAAACTGCAATCTCTGTTCACTAGTACCTCACACCAGGCTGTGATGCTTGGTTATATTCGAATGAAGTAAGAAATTCCAACTTATATTTACTTGCTATTATAGTATTCATGAAATGTTTCTAAATATCTGATACTATAGTGTCTATTTGTTAGCAATCAGAATCAGTACATCAGTAGCTTATCCTGAAAAATAAAGAGTACACAATGGGCCATTTCAGATAGCAGTTCTCTTAGTGTGGTATAAAGGACGTCTTTACAGCACAATACAGGAGAAAAGCACATTGTGCATCAGGTAACAGCTAGATTATCATTCCTCAGAACTTGGCTCTGCTATTTACTGACTGACCCTACAGAAGTTATTCAACCTTAGTTTCTTCATTTTTCTCAAAAGTACTGGATATTACAAAACTAGTGTGTCCTGGAACTACCAACAAAGAAACATGTATTTTTTGGAGAAAATTGACACAGAGACCAAGATGAAAGTCTCTATTTCTATATTTTAACAGAAAATAAGAATAGACTCATAGGTCCACCAGGTATTATAGATGTAAGACATATTTTAAATTAACTGTATATACTGTATTCAAGATTGGTAACTTTATCACGGACCTAAAACTAACACAAAAATTACCAAATAGAAAATTTAGAAATTAAAAAATGTAATGAATGGAATTGAGAAATTAATGAGAGAACTTAACAATGAATTGAATCAAGTAGGGAGAGTTAGCACATTAGAATGAACGTCATAAGAAAATATCCATGCTGGAATATAGCGAGACTAAAGAATGCAAAACATAGACCCGTGAGCAAAGGAGAGAAGCCAGAAAGAATAGAGCAGTTAAATGATTTGAAGATTTATTGGCTGAAGACTTTCCAAACTGTCAATAACAAAACCAAATCACATATAAAAGAATCACTACGAATTTTAATAAAAAATAACTAGAAAGTAGACAAATTATAGGGAAGCTGCTAAAATCCAAATACAAAGCAAGTAGCTTAAATTTACTTCAAAAGATGATAATGTGTTAATTCAAATGTCTAAAGAGAACTTTTTTAAGGAAAAGGAAAAAATATTCTACACAAAAGATGATGCAGAAACAATGCAGCACAGAGAACAATCAAATTGGTAAATGTAACAATATTTGCCTATATATTTATACAATATATACATAGACGTCTGTTCCTGTGTTTTACTTTCTGTGTGTAATTACAATACACAAAAATAGTAGCACATATCAGTTGGTATTAACTACAGTGACAGGTCCCGAGAACGAGGTGCCCACGGATGAATAAGAAAAGGTAAAAGAGACAAGAAAAACAAGAGGACTAAAAATCTGGGATGACGGGGCTTACAGTCTCTTGGACTGCGGCGGCCCGTATCACTCATCTCAATCACCTTTTATTGGAACAAAGAACATAACTAAAACTAACAGGAGAAATTCATTATCCCTTTCCGATTCTGCCTCTCTGCTGATGGTAACAACCCTCAGGCAAGCCTCCCACACCCAGCACCACGTTCACTCAGTTCAGCTGGGGATCATAAGCCGACCATCAGTAATCAACCCATTACCAATCACAGTCCTTTCCTCACAATCAGTAGGAAAGAAAATCAAATACAAGAAGTCCTTGCAACATTAAGGAAAAAAATAAAACTATTAATCATTATATGACTACAAGTCAAGAATGTATGCCATGATGTCTACTATAATCATTAAAATAGTAAGAAAAACTCTAACTACCAAACAAGTAGAGAATAAATCATGAAATGAGAAAAGGCATATTTATCTTTTCAATTCAAGAAAAGGCCAAAAAGAAGAGAAAGGAGCCGGGCGTGGTGGCACTCGCCCGTAATCCCAGCACTCGGAAGGCTGACACAGGAGCATCTTTGCAAGTTCGAGACCAGCCTGAGCTACAAAGTGAGCTCAAGGACAGCCTGAGCTACATAGCAAGACCTTGTCTCAAAAAGACAAAAAGAAAAAAAGAAGAAGAGAAAGGAAACCCAAAGTAGACAGAAAGGTAAAGGGTCTTAAAAACATTGCAGTTTTAAATCTCAATTTACAATAATTATATTTACAGGAAGCATAAGTTCACATTAAGAAAAACGATTGAAAAAATAAAAATGAAGAAAGTGCAAGGTTAGGTAGGTTTAAAAAAGAAACAATCAAAAATATAGAAAAAGTGTTGGGTGTGGTGGTGCACACCTGTAATCCCAACAGTCGATATGCTGAGGCAGGAGGATCACTGTGAGTTCAAGGCCAGTCTGGCTTACGTAAGCAAGCTCAAGGCCAGCCTGCACTACATAGTAACACTTGTCTCAAAACAAAAAACAAAAAAAAATCATAGAAAACAAAATGATTGACATAATAAAAACAAAAAATATTACACAAATAATAACTAGAAGGTAAGTAATATATCAATAGTCATATGAGCGAAGTAGCACTTAGGTCACATAGCGTAAAGAAATTTCATAGGCATAAAATTTTCATAATACCAAAAAGATGTCAAAATTGCACATCTAATGGGATTTGCTAACAGCTTCAAAACTGTACACAGTAAAATTAAATTTCTAAAAAGTAGGTAAATTTACAAATGTATGTACAGATTTCACCACAGTCAATAGTAGTTGGTAGCGAATTTTAACAATGACTTAAGTTCTTATTACTTCAAGAGGAGAAGTAAACTTGGTTTAATATTACATAGAAAATAGCACTCAGTTAAATATAAAATACACAATTTTTGCAAACCAGAATCCTTAAAGAAATCTTGAAAAATAAACTTATAAATGCTAAGTAAAATTTAATAGAAAAGTAGAGGAAAGGACAGCAATAAGACAATAAAAGACAAAAAGGTGAAAATCATAAAACATAATTGAGAGGGACAGAAAATATTAATCAAGTAGTTCCAGTACACTTCTAGAAGGAGATTAAGAAAGAGATCACAGCAAAAACAGAGGGAAGCAGATAGTAGGAAAAGAGACGGAATACTAATTAAATGATTAATTTGCAATCTGGGAGGGCTTATTGAATGCCAAATAAACTGAATGATGAAAAATATTCCTATGTTCAAAATTTAATTCAATAAATTGCAAAAATAGGAGATTAACAACAAAAAAACCTATGAGAGAGAAATAATGAACATTTTACTCCCAAATACGCCCTTAGAAGTCTCATCAGAATCATGATGATGTCAGATGATGGAGCAGTACAGGTGATGTTGAGGAAGAGATATAGGAGGTAATGCACGGCAAAGATGACGGAGGAAATAAACTGGACTTGTCAATCACAAGATTCCAAATAATTCCCAAGACCCTCTATGTGGGACTTCTCTGGGGCTCCCACAAGATATGGATGATATGTAAGGACACAGATGCCAGGAGGAACAGCTATGGGGACACTTCACGGTAGTCCACTCTGTCTCCCAGGCCCAGGGTGTGCTTTTATTTTTGCTCCTTTTATCCTTCTCTCTCTTGTTTGGCCCAAGTTCACTCTGTAAAAGCCAGTTTTTCCCTTACCTCTTTACCCCTCACTACTCATACTATAGAAATAATCCCTGAAAGTAAAGCCTTATCCCTCACTTTTCAAATAAACTTTTAGCACCTTTTTTGGCTTGTCTCATCGAATTCTTTACTTGAGCCCTGAAAGAGCTGGAATACATTTAATCCATGAGCCAATTCTAGAGGAACTACCTGATAGCAGAAGAGTTCAAACACGGACAACAATACATGTCCATGGAAGTCTCTTCTTAGGCTAAGTCAAGTGATCCACAAATTCCATCAAAACAAATGGTACTGAGTAACTCTGTAACCTGGACAGAAGTAATTTTTATTCACGCATTTTGGTTGTGGGCAGCTTTCCTTCCCAGGGCTAGATAGGCTTCCTGCTCACACCCAAGTGTCCTTTTCCAGGCAGTACCCAAAGATGTGAATTGGTTATTGTTTATCAAAGTAGTACAGTAAAGATTTTAAACTGTGACAGCACTCAGCTTTATCAGAAGAAAAAGAAGGACTGACAATGTGTATTATTAGTGGAGTTAAAACACAGAACATGTAAGAAAAAATCATCACTTAAAGAGATTTTGAAAAATGTGTGCTATTTGGTCTCATGATCCACCTCTGAGAAACTTTGTGTTTAATATCCAGAACTGTATACTACCATTTATGAGCAACTGCATTCCTCTCTGTGTTATGACAAACAAATAACAAAATACCAGAGGTAAATAATCTATAATTAATGTGAATTGATAAGCAAATAATAGTGAATGTAAATAATAATAGAACAAATTATCGATCAGTATTACAGTGAAGAACATAAAAATTAACACTATAATTTTGAGCCCTGCAAAAATAAAAGAAATGAAGGGATTTAGTAGTAAAACCTCTGTGATGTCATTAAAGTTTAGGAAAGAGATAAGGTTTCGGGTTTAAAAGTAAATAATATCATTAAATTTTAAAAAGTGAATTATAAGAAAAATCAGCATTATATGACCTAGGAAACAGAGAAGTATATAACTGCACCAATAACGTATTACCAATATGAGAAAAAGTAAATGACTGATACTTAAAATAAAGAAATATATATATAATTACAATTATAAATAAGTAAGACACTATTAACTTGTTTCAGGGCATTTAAAAAGGAAGACTAGCCGTAACTGTTGAATCACAAGTTTGAAATGCTTACCCAGGGATTTCTCACAAAATGAAAAGAAATCATTAAGGGGTTAAAGAATTTAATTTTAACTCAAAGAACGTAAAATAGTCACTACACCAAACATTAAAGTAGTAAATTGAGAAGTGATAATGGACTAACTTCTCTAAAAAAATTCCTGTAGCCAGTTGACTTTATGATTTAACTTGGAAATTTTCAGTAATTCTGTTGCACTAATTTTCTCATATCGTGGACAAAATAAATATTAGTTAATTAAATTAACAAAGTTGAAATTGAGTTATTAAGTCAAGAACCTAAAACATAACATATCAGAAAAGTATTCATTTCCTTTAACATAGCTTATTGTCAAATAAAGAGAAAAATTCTAACAGTAGTCCATATGGCTTTGCATATCAGACAAAATTAGACCTCAGAACAAAGTATTATTGAAACAAAATATTGGTTTTAGATTCAGAAGGACTTTTTTCTCCAAATCAAGCATTTCAATAAAACAGTATGTTTTTTTAGTTAGGGAAATTTTTTGAACACATGCAATGAATCCATCATATTTTTGTCAAAACTAGCTTCATAAAAGCAGACTCAAAAATTCTAACTGTACTCCCCCATGGCTCCAGCAAGATGCTCCACTGCTGGGAAAGGAGACAGCAATCTCTAAAATCACACTACACCAGCCACACTAGAATGAGGAAAGCGGCTAGGGACATAGCTTAGCGGCACAAGTGCCTGCCTGGCAAGCACAAAATCCTTAGTTTGATTCCCGAAGACGCCTAAATTCATGTTTTAATGACAAAATAAATTGATGTGATACAACCAAAGCAATTTACCTGGTCTAGACACATTCAGTAATAGTAATGGAACAAGACTTGAAAGAAGGTGAGCATACTGCCAAAGAGGAAAAAGATTAAAGAAAAGCGAGTCCTCTGTTTACTAATAGCACCATCTCTTTAACCGGTTATACTCTAAATCTAGTACTGACAGCACTTTTATAATGCTATGTAGATTCCAAACTTTTTAAATTTAAATAACTTTTCCTACTCATGATTTGCTCTTTGTCAATTCGCAGATTCACAAACTGAGATCCAGAGATTTTGGGTGCTTGCCTAATATTATAAAAGGTTTAGAAGAAATTTAAAATTACACTTAAACTAAATAAAACTTACTTTTGTATCTTTTTTACTCTTCTCAATAGTCTTATAATTAATCAGTTTCTAGTAAATGATTTAACATCATATTTCACTTAAAATGATCCCTAGTATATAGATAATATTTTAGAAAAGATGCTAGCAAGGAATTTAGAAAAAAAATGTGATTGTCACCTTCTTATACTCTCTGGAATGGAAAGTAGATGAGGTCCTTCAGACCAGCCAAAGAGACTGAACCACGTCTGGGCTGCATTTACAACCTTCTGATAGAAGTTATGTTCCATTGATCCTTCTTTAGGAAAAAAGAATTGTTCAATTTTTTCCTCATTTTCCAAAGATCCATCATCTGCTTTATCTGGTTTTCTCCTGTCACCCAGGTGCAAATGTACAGGTAATTTTTCCATTCCTAAAAATCAAATCACATTTGTTTATAAAGTGATATTACACGAGTACAGAGTAAAATATTGGCAATTATTGCTATTTGTATGTAGACAAACTACTATTTTAAAAAATATTCTAAGATATTAAAAAATTGAGCTAACCTACTGTATTTTAAAATATGTAATACAAATGTGCTTATTTTTAGCTACTCAAAGTATTTTTAAAAATCACAAATTTTAATCAAGAAAGTATTTCAATTTACTTTTTCCCATAATGGTACATGAAAACATTCCCCATAAGAAAAATGTCTTAACAGCTCTTTGGCTACAGATTCAGAAACATTTTTTTCTTCAAATCAAGCTTTTCAGTAAAATATTTATATATTACTCTATATTTTATCCTATGTATAAATATAAATATATGCATATATATTTTTTTTGGTTAGGGAAATTTTCAAACATCTAGAATGAGTTCATAATATTTTTGTCAAAAATAATTTCATAAAAGCAGACTCACTAGGAAGCTCACACTAAATTGGTTTTGTCCACTGAATAAAAAGGAAATTTTTCAATATTACTCATATCTAAGGAAAGGAATATTTAAGCATTTAACTTCAAGTAATAGCAAATTCTTATATTTACATATGATCACCACTTTCAAAGACAGGTAACCTTGGATTCACCTAGATAATGAACAGCAAATCCCTAGTTCTACAGATCCTAAACTGTGCACAGAGGCAACCTGTAATTTTGGAGATCCAGAAGATATTTAACTTTAAGTAACTTTATTTAAATATTATTGTCACATCTGTTGAAATGCACATAAGCCACTATTCTTAAGTTTTTGTACAAAGCCACTTAATAAATGTAACTATTTAGTACACATTTTTGCCTAGCGGAAAGTACGAAGTCATTAAGTGTGCTCTGAGCCACGAGAACTTGTGCCACTAATCATTAAAGAACACAGCAGAAGCGGGTAACCCACTTAAAATTAATGACAAATTCATGGACTTTGTCAGGAATTTCTTGAAGAAGCTTATATTTCAAGTTAAAAGAAAGTAAGATCACATCATGGACTGCATTGAAGTACAGTAAATACTTGCCACATACCAACAAATAAGCTCTCTCTTTTAAATTGTTCGTGGTATATTTCAGTACTAACAGGTGAAATTTTTACTGAAGAAGATGTGAGTAAAGTAGAATCCAAGCTGGGAAGCAAAAAACTACCTCGATTCTTCATAGGACTTCCATTTTTATCTACAAAGGACACATTGGGCCACAGTAAGTCAAAAAAACACATTAGGAATTCATTACCAGATTATTTAACTCAAATTTCATATGTAAGCCTAATAATCCATTACACATCAAATAAGATAATGAATAAGAAAAAGGTAAAGGATGATATGATTTTCAAAACTGAATAAAATTTATTTGATCAAGCAATTGTTATAGTGTATAAAAGTTATTACAGGGGCTGGGGATTTAGCTCAGCGGCAAAAGCGCCTGCCTGGCAAGTGCAAGGTCGTGAGTTCGGTTCCTGGTACCGGAAAAAAAAAAAAAAAAAAAAAAAAAAAAAAAAGTTATTACAGAATGAAGTGTTCATATTAACCATAATCAAGAATATGTAAAACATTTTAAACATTTCTTCTACACATGTTGTTCAAAATAAAATATAAGAAAAGTGTCAAGAATAAAAATAATTTTCCTAGCTAACTATCTGAAATAAATTCACGGATTGGTTATGAGCTAAGAGTATTTTGCAGAGATGTTAATCTGTGTTTCAATTAGAATTCTACAAAAACATTAGCGATTGCAAAAGTGGAAATCTCAATACCACCAAAGCAGTGGCTGTGACCTAAAGCCAGACATCAAAATGTCTAGCATCATTTATGTGTGTTTAACACACACAAACACACAGAAATGTATGTATATATCCATCATTTTATTTTGTTTGGCCTATGCAGTTACAAAACTCTCTTTTGAAAATCTGCAAAAGTACTCCTGAGCAATTAAATTGTGGGTATGTTATAATCCTCTAGAACATGTATTTTTATCCATAAGAGAAAACCAAAGGTCCTGAGGTCATGAGTTTGTTATGAGGGATTACTGAAAAGGCACTTATCAAATAGGAATGAACTAGTACATGTTAAATTTCTTCCACTCTATCAATACAAAATCATTCAGAATTTTCCAGAGGATTCTTATCCAATAAGCATGCATATGCCCAGAATTCTATTTTACTGTACTTCTTGGAAGTGAACCTTACAGAATCCAACGGTAGAACAATTTATACCCAGTTAATAATACTGACTTAATTTTTGATATGCTTAATATATTTAAAGATTTCACATTTATTGAACATGTCATCTTCTACAGAACAGTAGCTAAATATGTAGGTTTTGAGGTCTCAAAAATTATGGTTAGTATTCTCTGAGACTAGCTGCTCAAACTTTCCCTTAGTCATATTCTTAATCAGTGAAATAAGATCTATAAGGATAGCTAAACTCAGAATTGTTGGAATGAGTAAATGTAACAACAAAAGTAAAACAGAAGAACTATGTGTCTGTGAAGCATTAAATGTATACACTTTTCTGGAAAGGTGTTATGAAAACATAAGCAAAAAAGTAAGCGCAGCCAGTTATAAGAGCTATCACAGTGGAATTTTAGTAGTAACAATATGCTCTAGGTATGCATAGTCAACGCTCTTGAAATAGATAAAATGAGTAGTAGTATCCAGCTACTCTCTTGCAATATGCATAGTGTTACTAAAGATAATAAATTTGATCACCTGATAGTTTAAAATAAAATTCTGTGACAAATAATAGGGTTGGAACACAAAAGAGAATTTTCATCCAGGTTTCTGGCTCTTCAGCCACTGTTACTCATTTACATTTTATTTGAAATTCTCAGTCACCATAGTACATTAGAACACTGTACAAATGTAGCATTATTATTTAGGATTAATCAGAAAAATCTTTGAAATTTCTAACATATATGTTAAAATTTTGAGATCTTTCTCTCTCTTTTCATCTGGCCAAATAAACTATTCCATAAATTGTTTTAAAAATATTTTGATGCTCAGAATATACTCAAACATGCATAACTCATTCTCCTATGAAAACACATAGCTAAGAGATGCCTTCTTACTACTATTTCAAAATTCAGGTATCCCATTATACAGTATTAAATAAATACCCTTTATACACCAGACACTACATAAGACATTGTAGACACAAAATTGAAAACGATAGAAGTGATTCTTGCTTTCACAGACCTTAAAGACACCAATATATAGACAAGAATACAGACAGGGATGTTAAGTCAAAATGTGGTAAAGGCCAGGACAGGGGAATTGCACAGAACCTGAGGCTATACAAGAGACAAGCAAAAGACTCCTATGTGAAACTATGGATATTCTTATGTGTGTGGAAATCTATAGCATGGTAGGGAGAATGCTCCAGTCATGAGCCAGATCACCAGTATGATTCCCTTTTTTTCACCAGTAAAGTTCTTGATGCTAGAATAATTCAATTTAACGTGGCTTCAAAATAGAAGGAAAGATGTCCAGAAATGATAATAGAGCCATTGGCTGGGGCTGTACCAGATGGAGTTCTCTATGCTACATCCTACCAGCAATGGTATTCCATAAAACGATTTATGCCTCAAAACTGTAAGATTTAATTTCCAATTTATAAATATCCCTGGGCTACAGTGTGAAGAATCGTTTCTGAAAGGGGGAAAATATCAGAGGTGGCAAAAGAATGGTTTAGAAAACCCCAATGATACTATGAAGATATTACCGTGGCTTGAATGTGTGTAGTAACAGTAGAGAGAAAATGAAATGAAAAGGATATGAGAAGGATTTAAAGGCAAAGTGAAGGGAATTGGTGACCTGAAAGTGAAGTGTGAGAAAAAAAATATCATCCAGCATAACAGTCAGATTTCTGGATTGGTGACCTGATAAGATTATAGGTACATAATCTCCAGAGATGGAGCATACAGAAAGATGAAAGAACTTCAGATAGAACAGTTTAGTGGGGTCTCGTTGCTTTCAGGGTCATGTTGCTTTCAGGGTGTGGATATGAACGCAGTGAAAGGTGTCCAAACAGTAGCCTAATTCTGAAATCTTGAATGTCCGAGAAGGATGTGGATTAACCACATACCCCATTAATTGCAACCGAAGTCATGAAAGGAGGAAAGGAACAGGGCTCAAACTCCAACTAGAGCAAGATTATGGAAGGAGGGGGGTAAATTCATGAAAGATGCTTACAAGGAATCGTCAGAGAAGTCACAGGAGACCCGTAGAAATATGGTATGTGGAAGCCCTAAAACAGTTCAAACAGATGGGCAGGGATAACCAGCAGTGTCAGCTGTGCTCAGCAGCCAAATAATGCTTCTTGTATATTCCTGCAATTTCTTTCTTGTTAAAGAGAGTTCAGGTATTCTACTTGCTTACTTCTCTCTGTTACTTTTCTTCCTATCTTTGGGATGTGATTTATCTGATGGTAAGCTTGGGAAAAAAAAATGAGAATATATTGCATCACTTTTCTCTTTTCTCTGTTTGAAATTATTCTAAGACTATATAATTTCCTTTCTTCTCCCTGCTATCTTCTGGAAAACTAACTCAAAGAAGCTCAGGAGGCAAACATTGATGGGCAACAGCAAGCAAAGTTATCTGCTTTGGTGTGGTCCCTGGGTAATGTGCTTCAAATAAAGGGATGGACAGAGGCAGGAGAGAGGACTGAATTCTGGTCTAGTGAATGCAGTAAAAGGAAAAATTATGAGTTTGAACATACGCTGATATTTGGAACTTCACAGTGTTATTGCCTGATGTTTCCTGTTTTTTCTGAAAATTAAAAAAAAAAAAAAAGAAAAGAATCCCTGGTTCCCTGAGATTGAGAACAGGTTTGAATAGGTTTCATAGGAGTGATAAATATTTGAAGATGCAAAGAAGAATATGAGAAAACTGGTTGAAAGAAGAAAAAATCTTCAACTCAGCACTGAAGTTTAGGATGTGACAGTCCGTACAGATGGAACTTTCCCACTGCTCTTCATCCTTTCACTTCTTTGGGACTTACTCCATCAGTACTCCTGACCTGTGTACTGCATCTCTAGTTTGCCTTCTTCACTAGGTTTTCCATTTTTCTCGCTTCTTTCTTCTCCTTCTTGTCTATCTTTCTACAGTAACCCATTATTGTTGGTTTCTGCTTTCTTCCAGGGCTAGAGATAGAACCTAAGGCCTTCCATGTGCTATGCAAGTGCTTTAACACTGAGCTATACCCCTAGGCATAATTCATTAATTTTTCATTGATAGATAACTTCATATGTTTTATTGTGTATGGAATATTGCTTTAAATTTTATTACATTGTGGAATAGTTAAATCCATCTAATTAACAAATATATCACTTCACGTATCAATTTTGTAGTGAGAGCACAGAAAATCCTAAAACGAGACAACAATATGTCACTACTAACTCAACTCATATTATTGTGATCTACTCACAATAGATCTCTTGAAAGAATTATTCTTGTCTGTAATTATGTATCCTTTGATCTTAGTTTCTCTCACAATTTCCTCGGCAGCAATTCCTAGTTGGTCTATTTTCTGTCCCATCTTAATTCATCTTATATCCCAGTACCTACTTCCTTTCTGAATCACCGATACTCAAAAACCACAGAAGATTCCCAATATACAACAAAGGATTGAGCAATACACCCCTACACCTTCATCTCTTGCCTTATATCATCCATCATACTTCTTTGCTTTTGCTGTATTGTCATTTGCCCAAACCATCCTGTTCAAGATCATCATTTTCAGGATCTACACAAGTGTCATTTCTTCTCTACAGCCGTTCCAGGTCCTCAGAAATCAGCAATAATCACCACAACCCCAACACTTCCATTGATTCAGAGCTCTTAATCTTCTTAATAATAATTTATCTCCTTTATGAGATTGTCAACTTTAGGAATTAGGAAACACTGTCATATTCTACTCTTACTGTTAGCTCTTAGAAATGAAAGATGTTTAATAAACATCTTAAAAGGCACTCTATTTATAAATGTTGGTCTTGGCCTGCAATAACCTGTACCATGAGACTTAGAGAGAAATCTGTCACACGTAACTTACCATCTTTTAAGATAATATTGTGCTTATTGAGATAAGTTGCCAAATATGGATAAATAGTAAGAATGCAGTTTTCTGCTGTTGCCGTAACTGGGAGGGAAAACCTAAAAGAAAAATATTGCATTTCAATACAATAAAGACTTCAGATGCAAAAAATACAATAAAATCTTTCTAAGTATCCCAAGTGCCTTAAATGATAAAGACACAAATTATACATCAATTTTTCTTTCCGTATAATTTGCTTTTGTTAGCCACTTATATCTTATAGGCATTAATATATTTAATTTTAAACTTTTAACAGAGATAATAAATTTCACTGTCAAATGTGCCCTAGAATGTAAATTGTAACTTTTCAGGGCCCCGATCAAAGATTCAAAAATTTCTGACTTTAAGTGGCCTCACAGTTAATTTACTCATACCAATATTTTCTACTAAATAACATTTTACACAAAGATACTATCATCATTCCATTATGAAAACAAAATTGTAAATTTTCTTTTAACAGAGATTACAGGAGGTAAGGAAAAAGAAAGAATACATTTTCTCTGTCTCTTTTAATTAATTCTATTGATACACTTTCCAAATACATAATGATCACATTAATTTTAGGAAATGTGTATCTGTACCTAATATATTTTGATTTTTCCCATTGATTTCCCTTCCCTTCAACTCTTCTTCCCCTTATGACTTAAAGGAGCT